CCTCATATCAAATAATTCGATAGATTTTTTTTGTGAATAATTTTGCGTTTTTATGGATTAGTTAGTGCATTTTTATGGATTAGATTTTGCATTTGATCTAACCATAAGTCCAAATTTGGATGAAAAAGTCTCAGATAATTTTATATATATGTTAGTATAGCTTTTTAGATTTTTTTTTGATTGAAAAAGGAAATAACTTTCCATTTTTGTTTTACCTTTTTCTCTTTTTGTAAAAAACTTTTTTTTTTCGTTGAAAAAAAATCGAAAAAAAGATTTACAAAAATAAAAAGGAAACACCTTTCCATTTTTGATTTATCTTTTTCTCTTTTCATAAAAGACATTTTTTTTTGTCAAAAAAAAATTTTATAAAAATAAAAATGGAAATACCTTTCCATTTTTAATTTATCCTTTTTTCTTTCATAAAAATATTTTTTTTTGTTAAAAAAAAAAATTATAAAAATAAAAGAAAATGCCTTTTTATTTTTGATCTACCTTTCTCTCTTTCGTAAAGAATTTTTTTATTTTTTTTTATATATATATTTAATAATTAATATAAATCGTATTTTTTATAGTTAAGACTTAAGACCCACTTGATCGGCAAGTCATATTGTACATCTAATCGGAATTTTTTTTTTTCAAATATTTATTTTTTTTCCAACTAATCTAAATTTTTTCAGTTCACCTTTTTTTAAATTTTCAAATTTTTTTCTTGAACCAATCTTTTACTTTTTGTTCTTTCTTTTTTTTAAATTCCGTCATTTCTCTTTTAACCACCTTTTTCTTTTCCTTTTTTTTATCTTTTTTTAAAAATTTTCGTTTTTTTCCCTCTTTCTTTTTTTTTCATTCTTTCTCCACTTAGATTTTTTTTTTCCAAAACTGAAAAATTATTGTCATTTTTTTTTATTAAATAGCTTATATTATTTTTTTTTTGATCTTTTTTTTTTATTTTTCTTTCCTTTTCCTTTTCAATTTCTTTTTTCAACCCGATTTTTCTCTTTTCCCTCCCCACACAATTTTTTTATTAATACTTTTTTTCCTTAATATTTTTTTTTTTTTTAATGAAAACCTTATTAGTACTGAACCAATTACATTGTAATCATACCTATATTTGCCATATATACATAACAAAGTATCTATTTTCTATTGAAACCTACACTAAATAAGACCTAGCTAATTTGAAACTTGTAATTACTAAAATTATTTTATATAAATTTTATTTCTGGTCCTCTTCCGATCTTTAAAATTTTTTTTTGATATTTTTTTTCATTTTTTTTTGAACTGATTTTTTTTAATTTTTCCTTTTTTCTTTTAAAACAAAATTTTTCAGGTTTTCTGACTCACCCTTTCCTTTTTTGAGTTTGTTTTTTCTAAAACCAAAAATTGGTTTGAAATATTTTTAATTTTCCTTTATAATCCATACTATATTTTTTTATATAATTTTTTCCATGTATTTTTTAAAACTATTGTTATATAAGTATATTATTGTTTGTTTTTAGACTTGAATCTAGATCAGTGATCAGATTAACGCTATGACATTATGCTGTTACATTCAGCGCCTTTTTTTCCAATTCTTATTTTTAATAATAATTATTTTTCCTAATTACAATATTTTTTTGCTAAAATTTTTTTTGTTCTTTCAAGTAATATAATCAAATAAATGATTTTTTTATTTGAATAAACATGTTTCACATGATTTTTTAGTTAGGATAAATATATTTTTTTATTTAGTAAAAATAAAATTAGTTAAATTGAAAATTAATAAATTATAATTTTTAAATTACATAGATAATTTTTTTTATCTAAATGATTAGTATAATACTTATTTTAATATAGTTCATTTCTTTTATTAATAACAAGTTATACTACAATAAAAGTATTCAAGAAAAATAAAAAATTATTTTTATCATTTTATTATATAAACCAATATTTTTTCAATTGTAAATAAAAAAAAAACTATTTCAACCCATAGAGACTATCCATTTAATCACTAAAATAATCTATAATTTTTTATTTATACTACATACTTTGACCTTAATTCCATTAAGGTGGATAAAAATGTAATCAAAGAATATGTAAGATTACAGGAGGAGAATAGGGCTAGATTGTGAAATTATCTTATTGATGTTTAAAATACCTAATCACGAAAATTTTACGTGAATTTATTAGTAAATAAAGCTTACTATTTAGTCCTCCTTTAAATGGTTCTTATTATCCTATAACACAATGAAATAAATCGAATGGCAGCTCCCCTGCTAATAAGTCAATTTCTTGTTATAATCATTATAATTTATCAAAAAACACTTACCTAATATGGCACCAATAATTTCGAATTTACATATCATTAAACCAATAAAAAAGAAAACTGCAAAGACCCATTTCTTGCCAATTAAAGTTATATCTAATTAAAACTTAAGTTAGATCATAGTTAAGTACTTAAAATTTCAAAAATTATCAAATACTTATAATCAGTAAACGTAACAAAAATATCCAATGTTTTCTTATAATAATTAATCGAGTTCATAATGTTTCCTATCTCGTTTTTTGAAAATTCCAAAAGTACTTCTAATTCTACTTTTGTTTTTCTAATGCTTGAATTAAGATCTTCTTGCACAATTCGAGAATCATCAGTCATTTCAACAACCCCACTTAAATTCTACAGTATATTAAAAGGCTTCGATTAACGATATCATGATATCATGATTACTTGCAAAAATTTATTATTAATAATACCTCTTTAATTTCACTGATTTTCTTCAAACTCACATTAGACAATTCATCCGAAAAACTCTGAATATTAAAATATTAATAAAGTCAATTTGGTAAAATATAGACTGCAACAAATAAAAACTTAAAATAGCTCATTAATTCTACTCATCCATGTGTTTCATTTGATTGTAAATTCATCAAATATCCGGTCAATATTTGGTACGATTTTTACAAGATGCTACATTAATTTATATTAATAATATAGCTCATGAGTCATGTGAAATAATCAATAAATTACATACCTTACTAAGTGTCGTACTTTGTGACAACGTGTATAATATGGTTTCTTAAGATCGTTTTTGACGGTATTCATCTCCTTATATACCGAATATGATTTTTGCTTAATAACTGAGATTTCGTGATTTAGGCTTTTTAAGGACTCGGTAATATGTGGCAACTGCTCTAATTCCTCATTACGGATTGATGCAACAATTATGCTCAAATTGTTCATCATATTTTCATAATATGAACTAATATTTTTTCTATGTTGGTATAATATTTCTATGGTATAAAGTTGCCAGCAAATAATTATCAGCAAAATTCAAAATTTTGGTAATTTTATTTTATTTTATTTTAAAAATATAGGTGCTATCCGGGACTACAAGCAACTGCTAGTAGAACGAGATATATAGAAAACGATACAAAACTAAGCTAATGCGAGTTCGTCCAAAAATTTTGGAAATACTGTCTGCCTTTAAGATTAAGATTTGTTATTCCTACCTCTCTGTATTTCGTAACTTGAACTAAAACACATCAGTACTGTAATTATCAATTTTATACTGTCAATAAAGTCATCATAGAAAGAAATACTTTATTGTTTAAAAATATTATATACATTACCGACTTCTCTGAGGAATCCGTCGTAAGTTACCCAATATTGATTTATACTTCCAATTGAGGCCAAACAATCAGAATAATTCGTTAAATCATCGCATTGGCTAGGTGTGTCAAATCCTGCAGTTCTGAGTTGACACAATGTTAGTTTGATTGTATCTAAATAAAAGAAGTTAATTTAGTTAATTATCTATATGTAATTTATATTTCGAGCTGCAACTTACATATCGATCTTTCATCATTTGAAATATCTTCAAGTTTTGAACATTCGTTCTTAATCATAAACGCTGCTTCCTTAAAACAGTCATCTTTTCCTTCATAATTGTCTATCATTCCTTTTCGTAATACAAATCTTAATATTAAAAAGTTTAGTATTTAAAAGTATTTAATTAGAAAAAAATATTTACTTTTTCCATTGTCAATCAAAGCCCGTTCTAAAGCCCGTTCTGAAATAATAGGGCGGACATGCTAATTATCACCTTACCGATCATTTGCCGATCATATATATTGATTATCACGTTTTTTTGAGGGCTTCAAGCAAAGCCATATTTGCTCAAAAAAAATTTATAATCATTTTGTTTGGTAATTTAGGTTATCAAAAATATACTATAAAATTATTGTGGCAAAAAAAAATGTAGTGCCAAAGTTAGATTTGGGCCGAAATATTCAATAATTAGTATTTACAAATCATATGCCGATCATCTGCTAATTTGACTTTGAAGCTTCGGGCGAAGCCACAGATGTTCGGGCGAAACTTGAAACTTTTATAATATGATATTATTTAAGTATTCAAGAATCTATGGCTAAAATAAACATGGATAATTTTTAATAAACAAAAAGTTATCATTAAAAGAATACTTGCAATTATTAAGGTTAATATAAGGCTAATATTTGGTAAAATCTTCATGAACTAATTTTATGAATTAATTTATTAATAGTATATAAATAAAGTAAATAAAATCAAAATTTTATACATTATTATGTAGAGTTTGTAAAAAAAATAAACTTAACAGTATTTTTTTGTGACAATNAATTAATAAATCAGTTATGATCAGTAAGATTATTAATATTATTATTGAATCAACCTCTAATTTTTAGCATAAATTTTATTTTCAGCATTAAAACTCACAGATCCAAATGTACACTAGTTTACAATAAATAAAAAAAAAGAAAATTTATAAGTCAAAACAATTTTTAATAGCTTTTAAAAATTGAACCAAACCGGTTCCAAACTGGTTCTAAAAACCGGTTCAAAATATGATCAATATCAAAATTATGATGATCATAAACCAACTATTGATTGTTAACCAATCAAAATTTTTTTAATTCATAATCAATATATGTTTGACTTGTGTCTTTAATTTGACACATGTAGCTCATATTTTTCTTAATGGGAACCGATGTGGAACCGACGGGGAACCGAAATGGAACCGAACGAACCGTCCCCATCCCTAGTGATAATATTGGACAAATGATCGGCAAAATGATTGGCAAAATCGTGATAAAATAGAGATGTCCGCCCTGTTGTTCTGAATGTGTTGGTTCGACATTTCTTTCAACATCATTATCGTTATAACTCCAAATGTTAAGGTTAAAAGAATATCCACTGATTTGAAAAGGCACAAATAATAAGAAGATAATTACAATTATAATACGCATTTTAATATTAAAGGTTTATAATAAGAAAATTCTATTTCTTTGAATTAATAATAAGTGAATTGATTTTAAATCAATGAGAAACCTTCATTAAATACTTTAAATAAGAAATCCTTTCTATGCTTTTTGAAGAAATCATAACTTTTGAAACTTTAAAATTTGGAAATTTTGCATATGTTTAATTAAATTTTGGAAATTTTGCATGTGACATGGAAATTTTGGAAATTTTGGAAACTTTGCATATGCTTTAAAACATTTAAATAAGAAGACACTGGAAGCATAGGAAACTTTAAAAACTTTTTGCATTAACTATACATGCACACACTATTTAGGATGGATCAACTAAGACTAAAACTTCAACAAGAATTAATAGCCAGTATTAATAAAAGAACGTCTCCTAGTTTTGCAAAAAATAATAATAAGGGCAGATTAGTATTAGATAGAAGTATCATTGCACATATTAAGAGATCACGTCTTGAGAAAGTAAGCAATGAAGTGAACGATGAGATGGTAAATCAGAGCGACAAAATGGATGCGAACAAAATACAAGATCAAGATCCGAACGTATTTCAAGACAACGAAAGGGATGATCAATATCCAAAGAATTTCAAACGAATGAAGTTTCAGAAAAATTTCATGTAGTAGATCAATCTCCAAATGTATTTCATGCGAACGAAAACAACGGCATTATTCATCAAAATGACATCTCGATTCAAGTTCAAAATAGCAGCACAACTCAAGTTTGCGCTACTCCAGTTCAAAATAACTCTTTGACTCCAGTAAAAAAAATGCGGTCTCAAGTAATTCGTGACAGGCTGTCTGAAAAAAAAAAGTTTAAATCAAATTCAAAAAAATCTAAAAATGCTATAATCTTTGAATTAGAAAAATTAAAAGAATATAGAGTAAAGACGGAAGTTAACACGAATATGAAAATTTATGAAGGTGACTACGTTTGTTTTAATACTGTATGTTAATATAATACCGTTGTTATGATTTTTATTAATTAATGTATTAATTATTTTTAAATTAGATTCCATTGTTAATGATAATAAGGATCAAAATCAAATTATTTCAGCATACAAAGGAACGAAATCAACAGAATATAAAGATGGGAAGATTTAATTTTATTTTTAAAATTAACTCAGGATATGAAGTACTCCGAAATCGCAGTAGCCATTAATGCAAATGCAGAAAGTTTGAGAAAAAAATTAGTTGGATATAAAAGGGCACATAAATTTTTGCAAAATTTTGATCCAAAAAATATTATAAAATTACATTATCTTTAAGTGTCTTTCAAAAAATCAATACAACCGATTGGAATGAAGTGTTAATTAAATTTCAATCGCACTAACAATTACTATATATACTTCTTTTATTGGATTGGAATGAATGGAAATGGCCGATTGAAAATAATAAGGCTGGTTATGTTTTAGCACGTGCATTACCACATATTAGTTTATGGCACAGTTTTTCACCAGAAAAAATCGCGAAGTTGGCAAAAAAACCAATAGAAAAACCCAACCCAACTTCATCAAATCATACAAATTCAACAAAATTATGGACTGTACCTATACCAAGAATTTCAGGTGTATTTTTTATATTGCTAATTTTGCAATATATAACTGGATATGCATTTATTCTTGAGTCAAATTTGCAGATAAAGAGAATATCTCCCCAACATTAGTGAGTATACTACTGCTTTTTAGTTTCTAACGCCTAGTTTTATTGAAAAAACTAATAATTTTGACAATAATTTTCGAAAGACAAATAAGAATATTCCTACAGAAGATACAAGTGATTTAGAAAATATAATAAAAACAAAAAGGTAAATGTTATTCTACTAGCGAATTACAGATAAAAATAAGATATTTACATTTGTTTTATTAGCCTTCAGATATTTTTTGCTGGGTGGGCTTTGAAAGAAAATCAAAAAAGTTGTGAGAAACGAAATGTCAAACCAATTATAGAACAAATCAAGACACTGCTAATGACAATGTTTCTCAATGGTAATGTGGATAAAAGAAAAAGAATGAACACTCAAGAGATGTATAATGAACTCACAGACAAAGCAAGCCAAGGTGAATTCAATAAGGATGATATTCCTAAAGTCTCTACTATACATAATTGGATTCTAGAACGACAGCTTCGTTCAAAATACACATGTCAGAGCTTGCTTTGGAAGAGGCCGAAGTCTCCAGAAATGCATAAAAGTATTTATGATAAAATTATAAAATTATTAAAGAGTAAAATTTTTTTTTCGCAAATTTAAAATTCCATTATTTATATAGTGTTTTTAGAAATCTGTAGTTTGCCCGAAGGTAAACTTTTTTTCTTCAAACATACATAAACATATAAAATTATTTTCGTATCAAAATCTCCGACTTTTTTTGTATAATCATGTGAAATTTTGTGGCTTAGATATGCATATTCACTGATTTTTCCTTGTACGACATTTCATGTATTATTGTGTAAACCGGAGATTTCACCCCGGATTAATATAATGTTTTTTTGCCGATCTTATTCGGACCAGCACTTAAATATTTATCCGGAAAAATTTTAGGGGGTAAAATTGATTTTTTTTTTAATTTTTTGCGATAATATAGTGTGATATTGAACAAATTTTTTTTTTTACAAAAATACAAAATAAAAACCTATTAATGCCAATACACATAATAATAATAAAAACAAATCAGCTGAAAAAGACAAATCTTTATCTGAAAGTGAAGAAAATAATTCACCTTTATCAGAAACTTCTTCTATAGAAGAGGAAACAAATACAGATTCTCAAAAAAGAAAAACTTCAAAATCTTTATTAAAAAAAAATCAAAAACAAAAATTAATAAAAAGGGATTTCAAAAAAAATGGTTAAAAGAATTTTTGATATTCGTAATCAGCTCAATACTATTTTCGTCGATCACGTTTTACCAAAAATTTGATTTAGGCGTCGTATATACCTCTTATGTGACTTGATCCCGGAGATCTCCGAAGCCCCCTGGTATATATATCATGTACAGTTGTACTTGCCGCCCATTCCCCAAAAAAGGAAAATTGAACAATGATTTCATGACGATCTTATTGTTTAAATTTTTATTTTGGGGAATGGGCGGCAAGTATATATACAGTAGACTTTTCACAATAGACTCGGCTTTCTCAACACTATGGATAAAACTATAGATGAGGCCATCGAGCTCTTCAGATCCCAAAAAATCCCGGTATTCGAACCTGGGGAGGAGGAGTATGAGCGTTCTGTCGCGACTCCAAATCTCCTGTTTCGCTTCTCGAGACCCCATTTGGTGATTCAACCTGAGACCGCTTCTCATGTCCAGGCCATTATCAAGCAAGCAAGAGCGCAGAAGCTCAAAATCACCATCAAGTGTGGCGGTCATTCTTATGCGGGACACTCCACCGCCTACAAGGGCATCTTGCTGGACCTCAAGAAGATGAATACGGTCATGCTCGACATCAAATCGAAAACCGTCACGATGGATGCCGGTTGCACATGGGGCCACGTGTACAAGAAACTGGTCAACGGCCGGCACAACGGGTTCATCATCAACGGTGGGCGTTGCCCCTTTGTGGGAGTGAGCGGTTTCATTCTGGGGGGCGGTCTCAGTCCGTTCACAAGAAGCTTCGGAATGGGATGCGACACTCTGGAGGAGGCCACCGTAGTGACCGCAGACGGGGAGTTAGTTACTGTCAAGGACAACGATGATCCGAACTCTAAGGAGGGCAAGCTCTTCTGGGCACTCCGCGGTGCAGGTGGTGGTAATTTTGGTGTTCTGGTGAAGATGAAGTTGAAGGTCCAGCAGCTGCAGAACAAGGATGGTGTGGTGGTAGCTGGGAGATATCAGTGGTTCCCCAATTCAGGGATCACGAATGACCTCATGAGCACGATGAACAATTTCTACACGACCGTCACGAATGACTTCATGACCACGATGAACAATTTCTACACGACCGATTGGCCCAACCAGATGACCATTGACAGCACCTGGATGTGCGACCCCCAGCAGAAAGAGGGCGATGGAGTCCGGTTCCTCGTCTACTATGATGGCAACAAGGACGAATTCGACACGCTTATCGATAAATACATCAAACAGCCGGAGCTGGCGAAGCAACTCAAACGACGATCCTTGCCCGAAAAGTCCACCCGTTTCCTTCACGAGACGCTCGTGGCTCAGTGGTCAGAGGAAACCACAAAAGCCTTCCCCACTAACAAGACCTACAACATCTACAGCTCCTTCGTTTTCAACAACGATAAGATCAGCATCGAGAAAGTCACCGCCATTATCCGGGAAGAGATGAAAACTTTCCGGCGCCTCTACCGGGGGGAAAAAGTTCAGTTCCTGGTTACTTGGATTCATTCCGGGGGCAAGGCGAGGGAGAAGAAACCCTCAGATACAGCTTTCTTCTGGCGTGAAGCTGTGTATCACACATATGTCACAGTAGATTGGGAGGACAAATGGATGGAGAGGGACATGAGGGGCTTCTTGAAGAATGTCAAGAAGAAGCTGAGGCCCTTTTCTTTGAAGCGGGAGGCCGCATTCATCAATTTCGCCGACGGAGAACTATCAAAAAAAGCTCACGAAAGGGCATATTTCGGAAATAATCGCAAGGAGCTGCGGCGCATCAAGGAGATTTGGGATAAGGATAACTTCTTCAAGTGGACTCAAGGTATTCAGCTTCCACAGGGTATTGACGATGATGGGGAGCTGGATGTGGACGTGCCGGATAAGGAAGACATGACAGATACGATCGCAGAAGAACAGTGGGAATATTTTAAAACCGATGACTTCGTGAAAGACCTCAAGGAATTCGTGGATAACGTTGACAAATTCGTCAAAGAACACCCCTTACTGGAGCGTTTCTTCAAGGGCAAGAAGAACTACATAAAAGAGCTGGCGCAGAAGGCTGCGGACCTGAAGAACGACCCGAGCACTCCCCTCGGTAGCAAAGACCTTCTACCCAAAACGATCAAGGTTACCTTGCGTCAGCAAGTTATCTACTGCGGTAAGTGTCTCGAAATTGGGGAAGTCAAACGCGCTCACAACTCCCCTGTTCGTTCAACTCTGACAACGACTGTATAGATGACAGCTCCTCAATGAAGCGCGACGGTCGTTGGGATTCCCAGAAAAGACTCGTCGATCGAATCGCTAAGATCACCACGCGGATCCTCCCCGAAGGCCAAGGCGTTGCGCTGCGCTTCATCAATCAAGACGTGGACAACAACTCGAACCTGACCCTCGCGGAGATCAGGAACATTCTCGAGCCGATGTCATATATGCCCGGTGGCAACACTGAGATTGGCACGTACCTGAGATCTAAGATCCTCGAGCCGCTGGTCTATAGCAAGCTCGAGTCGAAGAGCCTCGAGAGGCCGCTTCTTATCTCTGTCATCACCGACGGCATGCCCGAAGGGGAAAAGTCCTCCGAGTTTGTGGATGCGATCTTGGAGTGTGGTAATAAGCTGGAAGGCGCCAAGTACCCTCGCGAGAGTACGTGTCTATGCCCAACTCTCCTTTTCCAGCCCGTCCTCTACTAATCGTATCAACCCGTAGGTGTGAAGTTCATGGTTGGCCAGATCGGGACGGGAAAGGCCGCGGCAAAGTTTCTGGAAACCATAAGAAACGACACGAAGATTGCCGAATCGGTATACTGTACTTCAGGTAGGCCGGCTTGTCCAGCTTCACGCGCCATACATCGCTTACCCATATTATCTACTAACACATCGCAGATCAGCTGGATGCAAAGTTCGAGGAATTCCATAAAAACGAGGGGGATCTAGACCGATGGGTGAGCATTACCTCCGTTCCTCCACTCCTGATCCTGTCGCCGGCTTGGGTGTTGCTAACCTGTTTTTTTTCCAGTTGGTTGAGACCTTATACTGGCCAATCAAGGATTCTGAAGACAAAGAAGACCACGAAAGCGATGGCGACGACAAGGATGACTGAACGGCGGAACAACGCCTTCGTGGGTGTGCGGGGTAAGGAGCGCCAATCTATCTATATAATTAAAAATCGAGTGTTTTTTAAATTAGCAATTATCTATATCTTGCGCTTTGCATATGCACATTTCTTTTAAGTATTCTGCGGATTGTACTAGCACTAATGTTTATTTTGTCATAAATTTTTAGTGATTTTTGTATATCAGTAGCCCTCATTTTTCATTATTTTTCGAATAATAATACGTTCATGACGTGGAGTAAGTTTTCGTGGACGACCTGGAATAGGTTTATTAACTAATTGTTCTGTTTCTTGATATTTTTTTTTAAGTCTTAAAATCGTAGAATGATGACATTTTGTCACGGTTTTTGCCAAGAAATTTTACTTCGCAGGCATATAGTGCCTATACATATACGCACCATGGACCATTTTTTATATTGTTAAATCGAGCAAACCATGTATGCCCTTTATTGCAACACCATAATAAAGGTGATTGACTATTAACATACTTCTCTGAAAGACATTCCCCATTTCGATCGAAAGCAATTTGTTTAGCAACCTTAATAGTAAACCGAACATTGCCTGCGCAATATGGACACCAATTTTTACTATTTTTTATTCTATGAAACTCTGCATTCCATTCATGTCCTGCGATTTCGAACGGTGACAACGAGCCGTGAATCAATGTAATTTAATTTCAAAAAACATAAAGTAAATGAAAGTATATGTTTCTAAGAAAGAATTGGTCTATCATTACATTTTATTATCAGAAAAATGTATATTATTTATTGTACTGTACATATACGCTCTCGTACGAACTTGATCGAAAACAGTAAAATTTTAGATAATAGCAAATAATTTAAGAGATTTTTTTGAAGACATCTAATGAACTCACGCGTTGTACTTTATTAGATTATTGAATAGTTTATAAGGTATAGTATATGATTATAATTACTTTTTTCTAGGAGAACTTTGAGTTATAAATTCTACTACTCTTTGTCTTTTAATTAGTCTAAAACTACCTTCTTCTTCATAAGTATTATGAAATTTCCCTAAAATGCGACGATATTTATGCAACTGTTTAATAAATTCTAATATTTTAAAATCAGTATCATTAGAAAAAAATGGAATTTGAATTCGGTCTAATGAAATTTTTCTAATAACAGGTGAAAATTTATAATCCATTAAAGATACAACTATGAAATCCGCATGTAAATGAAATAAAATAATCCTGTCTTCAATAAAATCAGCGACGGTCCCGGCCAGGTGCAATATTATTTTGAACATACAATGAGGATTTCGGGCAAACTTAAAACACATCGATTAGCATTTATTAAATGGTATAAACCAGCACCAAACCAGCAAATCCGATTTTACACAAAAATTGATGATGAAAAAAGCTCAAATATTGAACTTTGGCGAAATGAATTCTATAATGTTGAACGAGATTGTGTAATTCCAGTTCATTATTTGTATAGCCGATTTGTATCTAGTGAGTTTGTAATTGGTAAAAAGAATCCTATCACATATAATGCTGTAATTCCAATAAATCGGCAGTTTCATTTGTGAGAATTTTCATTTATATATATTATTTATTGTGTAATGAAAATAAAAATTTTAAATATGCAAATTCGCTTTAATATTGATAATTATTATATTATAATAGGGTCATCAATCGGTTATATGATTGATTGGTTTTACGTAAATTATGTCGGACAGTTTTTCATTATAATTAATAATTTTTAATTTTTATTTACTGCCCTCAATTTTGGCCTTTCATAATTACTGTATAATATACTAAATGCTAATTACAAATATAAGAAAAAATTATTTTCATTCTAATTCGCAAAATTTATCTTCATCCGCCACTTCACTTTTTACCTTGTTTATCTTAATAGAGCAAGCTAACGCTAAAGCCTTACTAAATTCCGACTTATCATAATCTTTTGGTTGAGTTGGCTGTAGAGAACCATCGGTAACTTGTCTGTTTAATAAAGTTATCTGACTCTCCATCACTTCAATCTTCTGTTGCTGGAAATCGTTTGCTTCTTTTTGAATTTTAATAAGTTCAATCAACCCTATTGTAATCTTCCGGCGGTTTGATTTTATTTTGAGTTTCTATATTCCGAACCGTCGCATAATTTGTCATTTGTTTTAGACAATCGTTTTCTTGTTTTAGCCGTTCATTACTTTGAACGATGTATTTAAAGCTATTGTTTTTATGCTTGCGGCCCATTATCGATCCTAAATATAAAGCAAAATTTACATAAAATCGAATTTCATCACAATTATTTATATTGTTATATAGCAAACTTACGGACAAAGTAGAAAATAACCGGAAGGAAAAAAAACGACAAAAATAAACGATAACCGGAAAGAAAAAACTTCCTTTACGATGACAGTATTTTGGGAATAATCCCTTTGGCTTCTTTAAACTTCTTTTTACTTCATTATCCGTTTTTTTGTTGTTACTATTTTTTTTGATTTATTTCTCCCTTTTTATTTCTTCTTATCTGCTTACTGGGTAATCATTACGTTACTCATTACTATTATTTATATAGGCCAAATCAGCTCCTAATGTTTCCTCTCCCCCTCCTCCGTCACCTTCTTGTACTGCCTTAAAACGCTCCTTAGATAAAGAAAACATTTCACCAGTACCTCTTCCTTTTCGCTCAGATTCAACAGTCGATATATTAGCCATTATAAAGTCAGCTCTTCTTCAATTTAATTCGAACATCATTCATCTTGGTTCCTCACGGTCATACAAAAACTCTAAGTTTTTGAAGGTAGATTTAACACAAGCTGCGGCTGTTCCTCGAGAAAGTGTTTACGATTCTGAAATGTACCGTGTTCTGGTAAACTGGCTTACGTATTCCTTAAATATCGAAGTGACTGGACAGTGGCATTTGAAATCTATCGGTAGTGATGGTGGTTTCCATCACTCATATTGCGATCTGGTTTTAAAACATCCTTCTGCCTCCAAACCCTTTGCCATTTTAGAGTTACTTGCCACTGCTATTCCTTCAACTCTAAAAAAACACTTTTCTCAAGTTTCTACTTATGCTCAATGTCTTTGTCCTGATGAATTTTGGGTAGTTCACTTCTCTAGAGCTGATGATCTTCTTTCTTCTCCATACTGGCCTGATGAATCTTTATTGCACCAAAAGCTTGGGATGATACATATATGGCATGATAAGGAGTTCAAAAACGTTCGTTTGAATGCCAAATTCTCCTTTTTAAATGAAATAAAGACAATTTCAAATATGCAAATTCTCCCATAATTTCTTCCTTCGATAGTTACAATTGGTTCCAAATTTCTTTCATAATACGTTTTAAGTTATTTTCCATGAACAACATGTTTAATTAACTTTCCATCCATCATCTTAACGTTAAATTTATATGCATTATCTTTAAGAGTATTGTGTATATAATAAGATCTGGTCCATCGATTTTCAAGTTTCTTTGAGAAATTATTTTTCAATCAAGTTCCTTCTACTAGAACTTGATCACCGATTTTGAGTTTTTCTGAAATTCTGAAATCACAACGTATAAGATCAATGTCAGCTGTATGGTATTTCCCTACCACCAAAGTAATCCTTTAAGGATAAATACTTAACTCCAAAACATCACTTGACCTAAATTCCCTCCCATCTTCACCAATAGCGACTAGACTTTCCTTATTTACATTTTTATCTAGTCGTATTTCAGATACACGATATACTGGTCGAATTAATTTCGATAAAGTCGTAAAACTCTCTAAATGAATTGCTTCCATAATATTTATATATTTCATTTGTAAAATGAGTAATATTTCCAGATAATACAGAGCTTATAGGATCATTATCAGCGTGGATTATTTAAAAATAAAACTAATTAATATTTTAAACATAAATAGATAATATTTAAATATACTAATGAATACTCAATTTTTTCATTTTTAAAATCCTAAACATTATAAACATCTTGTATACTCATATTTATTCGTGAAGTGAAAAATATGACAAGGACAGATCCAAGCCATAGCTGAGAAAATTAACTTTTAAATGAAAAATTAATTTTCACAGAAGGAGTATGACGCAGTTATTCTTAAAATATTTCATACCGCATATTTATAAATATGATAAGGAAAGATCCAAATCATCACCGATAAAACAAATTTTCACAGTAAAAAAGTCATACTCTTGATTAGAAATATGTTAAAATAAACTCACGCCAGATAAAGCATCCCTGATTTCCTTTAAAGTTCCAGGAACATTTTTGATTTCGCGAATTTTATAAAGTAATCAAAAGACCAATCCTTAAACGAACATTTTTTAAAATATTCAGAATATGGTCTTTTCATTCTCATTATACAAGGTAATAGATCCAGTTGCTGTACAGTACCTATATATTGAAGAAGTACAAATTATTAAATAAAAAAATAAAAAGGTCTCTAAACAATATTAACCTGCATTAATTTTTGATATAAAAACTGAGAGGGTAATTGCCGGTCCAAGTTCAAGATTAATTCCCAATAAATCTTCTTTACTAAGATGAAAAAAGTTAGGACCAGAAATTTTAGATCTTTCAAAATTTCTAAGTCTTCCGGATCAAGTTGTAAATTTAAATTATTTAAATATAATAATAACTCGGTCGTAGTAAAATTATGGAAAATTTCCTTCAAGCAAAGATCGGCCATATTGCATTGCAAAAAGCAAAAAGAAAATTCATTTATTTACAAAATTTACGCGTCATTTTTTAATGGTCACGGGTAAACGAAACCACAAAAATTTTCCACCCACGTGACCTTAAAACTTGTTATACATTCCCGTCTATATTCATAAAAGGAAATTGTAACAATGAATGATCAGCAATTCAAGTATTGTTTTTACAATCATAGTGAACCCTCGGTTATGTTCACTATAACGAATATTCACAAAAACGAAAGATTTCTTTATAGTGAACCTTATATTAATACAATAAAAAGTTTCTTTTAACAAAGTATTTAATTTTTGATTTTAAAAGCCTTAAGAATTTCCAATTCTGTGTATATTTAGACCAATAAATTATTTATAATGATAATGGCATTTTATAGTATGATCTTGTAAATTTAATTCCACAATAATAAAGTGAATACTAATCCTAATTTTTGTGTTTAACGTCGATTCGCTTAATTGAAGTCCCTAAAGGTTTATGCTTGAGGCACATTTTAGTCCCTAGAAGTTTTATGAATTGTAAATCTATAGCGATAACATATTACATTGTACACTTCAGATATCACCAAATTTTTTTTGATTAGTCCAGAGTTTTTTTTTAAAAAAAAACTATTGCTATGTCCAAATAAAGCTACTGTATTGAGTCAAACCTAATTGAGTACTACCATTTACATCAATTAAATCACCGACATTGACGAATTTCTTATCGTTATGATATAAATTTTACCATTGACTTACTAAATTTATTTTAATCAAACACCTTTCAATTTGAAAGTCGTCGCATTATGTATCCAAAAAAAAAACCTTTTTTCTTTTTTTTTGCTGAATTCAAGCATCTTTGATATGATCAAACTACTAAATAGATGGTTACAATCATCAGATATTATTGCACATAATATCAAAAGCTTACCTTTAAATACGACTCATCCAAAAGTAAATGCTACCCACAAGTCCCATTTCAATGGTATTTTTCAAGTTGATCTGGCATTCCAAAGGCTTCAAAAGCATCAAAATAAAAAGTCAAAACAATATGCAATTATTAAAAAGAATGTTTATTCGACCATTGACAGATACTACTCTACAAATAACAATTTCAAAATTACACTTGCAAATACTCGTAAATCCTCCTCTCTGCATACAAATCAAATGTTCACTTTCTCTATAGCAGAGCAAGGCGCAATAGTGGAATCTTTTCTAAAAAAACTTTTAAGACCTCTTCCAAAAATTTACCTCTTTACCCGAAACCAGTAGAAGGAGTTTCTAGAAAAAAAAAGAAAAAAATATTATAAAGTTAGTTTATTAAAAAAAAAATAGAAAAACTTTACAAAAATCCCAGAATATTTAATGATTTAACGAAAAAAAATTAACTGAAAAATAAATAATAATAAATATCAAATAGATTTTAATTAAACAACTAATTTATACATAATTTAAATTCACTAAAACATCATCATCAACATTTAGAGTTATTTAGATTTTTTTTTTTGAATAATTTTGCTTTCTAAATAAATTTTTATAAAAGTAAAAATAAAAAAACAGCTCCAAGTTGTATCTAATGTAAAATAATTACTAATATACTTCTGATGGGGGGGGGTTGATGGGGAAATTAATAGGAAGTTTACAAAAGAAAAAATTTTTTTAACGTTGAAGTAATTTCTTGATATCTGTCATATGAACATGTAGCACAAGTGTGATCATTTTTTCGAAACTTAACCTAATTTTATTAAATTATTGTCAAATTCCTTAATTTAGACGAATTTTGTTAATTCCGCAGATCGGCGAATATGATTTACAATGAACGTCAAGGTTTAACTGCAAATTTGGATTTGTGTGAAAAGTTTCAACCATGTCAAGTTAGATTTACTTTAAAAGAGCTATATACCCATTATGTTATACCCCTTGATATTGTGGTTAAATTGTATATATCATTGGAAATTACAATATAATGCGTATGATCTTTTTTCCTCAAAGTTGTAAAGATAAAGGATATAATCGGCCGATAAGAGGAAGGATTAAAGTTAGAAGTTAGATAGATAAAACAATAAAATCAATTTTATTAATAAATTACCCAATAAATTCTGTTTACAATAATATAAGTTTATATACTTATTTTTTGATACTTACTTAATTTGACCCCCTCCCCCTCAATTTTTTTAAAAAAATCTGGACGTTAAATAAACTATTAAATTGGAGTGACCTTATAAACGCAAATTTTTTTCTGTAAATTAGCTAATTCCAATGCTTCAGCTTCATCAAGTGCCTTTCTGGTTGCAGCTTCTTGAGCAAAATTTAGAGTTCGCGCACTTTAAGAAATAATTTTTTTTCTTCTATAACAAAATATTAGTATGTTTACATTGTTTAGATCTCTTTAGAATCCCTATTCGATAAAGGTTGCTTTTCTTTTTGTTGGGAACTTTCAGCTTTAACATTAGTTGAATTAATTAATTAGAATTTTCTTATTTTTACCATTTCGTGCGCCTAATTATTGTTGTCCTGAGCGAAGCGAAAGACAATATATGTCTACGTACTATGAAAAAAATCGATCACGTGAATTTCTCTGTCTGCACGTGATCATGATCGTTACCCAATGAAATCGCAAACAACGGTAATAATAGCGCATCTACAATTCATTGATATTTTTTTTCACTTTTTTTTATACTCACTCATATTAATTTATATTTTTTTTTTGTAGTTTACTAAGAACAACAAACATAAATCATAATAAGCTTTATGATTGATGGGCGTGATTTACGTGATATACAGTATACGGGCCCTAGCAAAATAATGGCGGTCAGTTTTTGATATCATGAATAAAATTATAGTAAAAAATTTTTTACTTTCTGAAAGAGTAACAGAAATACATGTATTTCATTACTTTAATCAATATCATCTTCAGTGTCCATAAATGCTTCAATTTACTATTGTGACGTACTCTTACTAACGTTCTTTTAGCATACTTTTTTAATATTTTCTCAATTTTCTCGCCATCCAGAGGTCCATTGGATTCCCTGTAAAAAAAGAATGTCTGAAATTGTCGTCGAAATGTCCAGAAAATCTAGAAGAGCTCAGGCCTGATGTTCAGAAAGAATCACAATTTTCATTTTCCGGACACTTTTGATGACAATTTTTCCAGATATTCCTTTTTTATAAGATACTAAGTTCAATTTTGATATAAAAACGGGATATCATTTTGTAGTATAGCGAAACACAGTTATAGTATAAGGTAAATAAAAAGTAAATAGTTTTTTTAAAAATAATTTGGGGTGAATTATTATGTAAGTTTTTGAGTATAAGATAATTTATAATTACTTATTCTAGTCTTATTCTCCGAAATTTATAACTTTTTGGTTTTTTGTAAGGCAAAAAAACCCTATAAAACGCAATGTTCATAAATTATACATGTAAAATCATATATTGTTCATCTATTATACAAAAAATTGTAATGGGCAAAAAATTTTTTAGATTCTCGTGACATAAAATTTTAAAATAACCCGGCCGGCCGGCATTTTTTTTATATACAGTATGTTAAAATTTTTTCATATGTAAAATTTTTTTACGCACATTGGCCAAAAACAAAATCACGTGATAAAAATTTTTTACTATTACAGTAAAAAAAAAATTTTCCATTTTTTGACCCGGCCGGGTCACGAGAATCTAAATTTTTTTTTTTGCCCGGCCTTAGGCCAATAGGATTTTCTGTTTAACAAGTATTTTTATTGAAAAAAGAGAGGGAGGAGGGGCCAAAAATAATTTACAAAATTTTTTAAATTATTTTTTACTATTAAAATTTTCAAATTGTTCCGGCCTTAAGCATATTTTATTCATATAATATCAACATACGTTAATAAGTGTAAAATAAATAATAAATTTTCGTTTTTTTTATTTCTTTTAAAGAATCTACTTGTTTAATTTAAACAGGAAAATCTATATCCACAAAGTATTATACATATATTTTTTCTTTGTAGATGTAATAGTATAAATATTCCATATTCGTATGTTTAGTTTATGTAGTATCTAAAACTTTTTCGTAATACAAAGTCTAATGATATTAATTATTCTTTGAATTTTTTAGAGTTTAGTAAGTATTGTGTAAAATACTAATTATTTGCATACCAATGTTAATGCATATCTATAAAAAAAGCCATTGATTAGCTTAATTGGACTGCATAAATGATTGGCGTAGAACAAATTTATAGCAAACGAAATGAAACTAATCTGATAATCAGTAATTGTAATATAAAAAAAATATTATAAAAAATTTATTAAGCAATTTGATCGTGACAATGAAATTCTTCACATGAGAAATCATCATTGTCTTTTTAGAAATCGTCATTGTTTTTTAAAAAAAAATATTTCAGTTTTTTGGATTTTATATGACGAATTTTCTTTTTTTTAAAAATATATATATATATATATATATATTTCAGTTTTTTTTTGATTTCCCACATGACGAAAAAAAATCCTTTGTTTTTTTAAAAATTTTTCTTTATAAAAAAATTACACCTTTTCATTAAAAATTTTACACTTTAATTTCTAATATTTTCTAATGCCTGCCCAACTATCAACAATCCTTTATTTCAGAATATATAGGGAGAAAACATCAGGTGAATTTTTTATAGGAATGGCCACTGGACACACAAGACTTGAGGGTAACTCAGATGAATTTAATATTACAGTGTTTTATCCTTTTAACGAAGATTAACAAACCATGCTATGTACCAAAATTGGAAGAGGGACAAGTCTTATCTATTGCAAATTCAAAATTTGCTATTGGACCTGTCGATAATCAAATTGATGTAAGAAATTACTTTATTTTAATTTTTTTAAATACATTTATTATTTGTTTTAAAATTAAATTTCAAACTATATTATAATCATATTATCTGCATGTGTATCCAGTTAATATTAACCACTGTTACCATTTTACCTATCAAACCTGAGGATTTACCAATTCATCAATAAATGTTGTAGGCACAGCTTCTGTATCAGATTCAGTACTTACTACAAATCTTGGTATACAATTTGAATGTACCATCTCAGACTATATTGGTAAAGATAAACCAACTGAGATTCCAATCACATTATTCCAAGCCACTTAAAAGTCAGACTACAATGTTAAAACGTAGTTCTTCCATTTTTTTCAGGTGCTTTAACATCAATTGAGGGAATGTTCTATCTAGAACTATGTAATTTTAGTTTTATTCGTACTCAACAATCAAATTTTATATCAAAATCTACCAGGGAAATGCTACATCATCATCATCATCACATATGATAGCCACAAGATCTGCAATCCATAAAAAATTCAAGAAAAACAATCCACACCTGTACTAGGAAAACATGAAATTACTATAAAAAAAAAATTCTCAGATATTGCATCAAATCCACTCATAGTGACTGAAAATTCAATGGAAATTTTTGAAGAAACTTCTGAAGAGCAGGAAGAATAGGAAGATCTGCATCTATACTTATCCCTGCAACTAAACTTACACCTCCATCAAAAAAACGCAGAGGTCGTGCAAAAAAGTTTAACGTTTTATTAAATTAGAAATATTTTTACATATTTTTTTTTTAATTTATCTGCTATAATACAAAAAAAAATTGTTTTTTTTCTGTAAATAAATTTGAAATGAGATTTAATTAATTGAGTAAAGAATACAATATTTTTTTAAACTTTTCTGTTTCAAAAAAGAAGTAATAGCAGAATAATAATATATTTAATGTAAAATAAAATAATTTAAAAATGCAAAATTGTTAATCAACAGGCCGTTTGTCACCAATCTATTTATTAAATAATTATTTTCCTGTTAAAAAGTATAATTACTAAAGGAAATAGGTAGATTAAGGAAAAAGTTAGACATGTTAAAGTGACTTAACAGTATGTACTAGCTTTGTAGGCCAACAAAATCATAATAATTTGTATTACTTTAAAAAAAAATTCTTTAAATAAAAAAAGTAAATTTTAGTGGTACATGTATGGGATGTTTCTTTTTCTTTAAAAAATAAATATCACATTTTTTTACTTCATATCAATATGTCAAAGTTCTTTCAGGTAATGGTGAAACCTGCCAAACAAAAAACATTGTGTATAATGAAATATTTCATCCTATTTAAATAACTACTATAACTATTATAACTCTTATAATAAAAAAATGTATTACATAAAAGTGCAAATTTTATTTATATTTTATTACTATTTTATTTTATGCCACACATAGACTTATTTCCTATTTATCATAAACTTCCAAATTAATA